GTTTTTCCTTTTACTTGTACATGCATTTGTGTTTCTTGAATGCTTAAATTGAGTTTTTATAATTTTGTCCAACAAGTCTTTTTATTTCTATGTGTTGCATGTTTGTGCTGCCGCAGTTTAGCTTAAAGTTTAGTTAAAAATAAACACAGGTGATGTTTTCCTCCTTGCCTTTGTTTTAAACTAAACTTTAAACTTTTAGCTAAACTGAGGCACAAACATGCAACACAGAAATAAAATGACTTGTTGGGAAAAAAATAAAATAACTAACCTGGAAAAATAAATATTAAAGTCAATTAAAATATAAAACAGGAGATAAAGTTCTCCTTTTTAATTTACTTGGTGAATTTTAAGTGTGTTTATTTAGTGGTTCATTTATATAATTCTGCTTTTATTTCTAATGATGTCAGTGTTGGTCCTCCGTACAGCAGAAGCCTGAAAACCATCTATTCATTCATATCAGGTGTGTTGGAGCAGAGAAACAAGTAAAACCTGCAGGTCTGTGGACCTCCAGGACCAGGACTGACCATGCCTGGTGGTCAAAACAATAATCTGTGTGAAAGCTCAGCTCAGAGTTCTGACTTTGTGCAAAAAGAAAAAAAGGGTTGGTGCTTATTTAAGTAACATTCAGCTGCAGCTGGAACCATCTTATTTCAAGATAAGACTTTCATGTCTGACAACATCTGCAGAAGGGTTGAAACAGTTTCTACGATGGTGCTGAAGTACTGACAAACCTGTCATTTGTGCTCGTTTACGAGAGTGGCAAAAATGTTATATAATTTTATTTAATGTTTTTTATTTAAGCTCTCAATTTACTGCCTAATTTAAACACTTACCCTTGTTTCTCCACAGCTGTGAGGAGTTGCTGCTGTGAGCAGCGTCATAAGAGACTGTGATGGGCAAGACGTGTCGGACGTCTGGAGCTGGTTGGGATGACAGAGTGAACTCCATGGAGTCTTTCACCACCCAGAAAGGATCTGTGGGTAGCTGGTGCTCATAGTAGACTAATCCAGACTCCAGCTGTGGGTTTGGGAATAAAAAATAAACATCACAAGAAGTTGGTTCGATCAAGATATAACATTCAGCGTGATAAATTACCCTTTGGTAAATCTTATCCTTTAAATGTTGTTCTGTGCTTGTTTTGCTTCTTTAAACCAAATTTTTTTTGTAAAACTGTGGACACAAATTGAAACATTTTCTGTGGCGTTCCCCACTCAGCCACTGTAACTTGCCCATATGGCTAAAAACTGGCGTTTTCTTTTGGAAAAATCATTTTTATTGCGTTCCTTCCCTCTGAAGGTTTGTAAATGAGCGCTTGAACAGCTGCAGCAGTGGTTTTGGCTCATCTGAAGCAGGAAACTGGAGTGGTCTCACTTCTCTGTCTGAGGTCACTGCGTCCTAAACTCACCTCTCCCTCCCTTTTTTTACAGGGCCAAATACACAAGAGAGTGCAGCTCTCCATATTAGGACACAGATGTGAGATCCATTCATTATGGAAAGCTTCACTGTTGTAAAAACTACTATTTTTAAACACAAGTTTAACTCTTTCAAAAAATGACTGATATCTTTTTTGTTTCCAGTTGACTCTAAACTAGCAACTTGTTTATTAAATGACAGGTCTTCAAGTTAAACACGTTATAAATCCATTTTCCAATAACTAGAAGCACTCAGAGAGTGCAAACCTCCGCCAAGACCAACAGCCTATACACCACGGTCATTGATGACGTATTTCTGGTAAAATTCTTGCCACGCTCCTCCCTTCCACTCCCTGCTTACTGCCTATGTTTTTAGCGTTAGCTGCTAGAACTAGTCTGTGAAAATGTCACAAAAGTTAAAGCATCTGTGATCTACTGGTATAAAACATGAGTTCTGTTGTGTGTCGTTGTGTTCACTAACCAGCAGGTACGATCCAGTAGTTAGTTTTTATCCTTTTTCCTCTTGATGAGGAGGTGACAGCAG